CACAAGGCAGTGGAGCATCGTAAGGAGATGCAGTCCCATGGTAGCCGGTGACCAACGATTGGTTCATACGCCATTCGTTCCCGCAGGATACTGGAGCCCATGTGCACCATTGATTTGGAATCCGGTTAAAGCGCCGGACATTCGCTTTTCGTCCTCTCATTTTCGTAGACAACACCCCCGCCACGAGAAGGCAATGAGTAGGACTTCCCTGGCAGAGGCTGTATACGCGTGGCCGTGTGAGAGTATTTCGAGAGGGAGAGCGGACTCTCCCCACTCTCGGCCGTACCAGGGCATTCAGGGGGGCCAAAGTGTGTACCAGTGTGCTGCACTCAACAACAAGGTAGGTAGTTTTCAAGTCTTTATTTTGTAGTGACTCACATTTATCACGAGAACACGACTGGTTTAATAGAAACAATTAATATTATAACCAACTGTACCAGTGCTTGTTTTAATGTGCTTTTGTTTGACTGTGCTAATGACAGCTATATTATGCTTCCATTCTTATACTTACACTTTGATTGCAACTTCGCGCGAATTCGGTTACGTTCTGTAACCAAGCTTGTATTCTGGCACGATCTCGGTATCCTTTCGATGCCACGAGATCGCCAGCGAATATATCTCGATTTGGTCCATTAACTGCCTTCTGATATTTGGCTTCTCGGGGATTTTATGGATTAGTTTAGTTACGTTCAAACTTCGCCTTCTGATTTACTTGGCACGTGTTTTTTGGTAGCGGTGTTCATAGTCAATCCCGACTCGACACCACGCTACAACTGGTGAGCCAAATTTTGGAACACGCCTCAACCTCTGGTCGAATCTTCCAAAGAAGCCAATTCGGTGAGTCTATAGTTTATCTATCCACGTCTGTCGTATATTTTCATATTTTTTAATATATAATATACTCGACATGACGGATAACGATAAGAATAGTATTAATATAATAGACTCACATGTATGTGTACCGAATCCTTGTTACTTTTTATTCGCGTGACGATGAATTTCACGCTTTATTCGAGAAATTTTCCCCTATTAACTATTCTCCTCGCTGACCCGGCTGCTTGGTACGGAATGCATACGCATAAGCATATCTGTCTACCACCCAGCACCAAATGGTTAAGTAAACGGTTTCACTGCCAACTTAAAAGTGCTCTACGAGCACACGAAAACGGCAACTGGCACGAAACCTTACCGCTCGTTCTTTTAGGGATCAGAACGAGCTTAAAGGCAGATATCCAATGTTCCGCCGCTGAACTTGTATACGGCACGACATTGCGTCTGCCCGGAGAATTCTTCACACCACGGAGCAGACCTAATTTCGGTAAATTAGACTACGTCCATCGACTGTCTGCATTTATGCGAACGCTGTCTCCGGTGTCAACTCGAATACAACATCGACAGGTCGCTCCCCCTCGAGAGTTATCTACCTGTTCACATGTTTTTGTACGAATAGATTCGGTACGCAAACCTTGGCAACAACCTTACGAAGGCCCTTTTCACGTGATCGCTCGTCACGAAAAGACCTTCAAGGTTGATCGACATGGCCGCGTCGAGATCGTCAGCATTGGTCGTCTCAAACCCGCACACTTCGATGACAGTGCACTATCTGATACCCTGAGATTCAATGCTAGACCTATTAAACCTAGCGGGATCCTTAAATCTTCTTCAGGTCCCACGCTAGGTACATCTGAGACCTCATTCTCACGTCCCGGTCAACAGCACGCGTCATCTGCACCATCTACAGACGAGACGACAGTCTCACGTCCAGATCAGCAGACCACGCCGCCCTTGATTTCGGATGAGATTGCAGGCTCACGAAATACGAACGAGACTACCGTCTCACTTTCCGGTCGCCGAGTACGGTTGCCCGTACGCTTCCGCGACTAGTCGCGCAGTCAACAACCGATACGGTGTAGGGTTATTCCTATGCTACACGCATGCTACACTCTTCTCTTTTTTGCTTTTCTTTTTGTTTCCTGAGCCCGCGCCTTCGATCATCTCCGTTTGGTTCCGTCGACTTCAGTCAACTTTGGCGAAAGCTGGCCTGATCACCCACGCTCTTGTCAACGTACTCAGTCGATATATTGGTTTCGAATGCTTGGCATACGCTTGGTCTCGAACTTGGTCGTTATGGTCGCTTCTGGTTCATCGGCTCAACGTGGTTTCGTCCTACGTCTGCAACGTTTCTGGTCCGCATCCCTACGAACGCAATCTTCAGATTCTGGATACAAACCACTCTGGTGTAGCATGCCAACTCAAGCAACAAATACAGCACATCGCTCCTGGTACCGTTCTTCGAAAACGACCTTCGTTGGCAACTCGACGATCAACGATCGCTTTCCTGTTCGCCAATTCTTCCGTCCTACAATCGCTCGTCAGCCGATCAGTCCCACGATTTAAACCGCTATTTATCGAAAGTGTAAACCCTTTCTAGCGGGGGGCTCCTGTAGTGACTCACATTTATCACGAGAACACGACTGGTTTAATAGAAACAATTAATATTATAACCAACTGTACCAGTGCTTGTTTTAATGTGCTTTTGTTTGACTGTGCTAATGACAGCTATATTATGCTTCCATTCTTATACTTACACTTTGATTGTAACTTCGCGCGAATTCGGTTACGTTCTGTAACCAAGCTTGTATTCTGGCACGATCTCGGTATCCTTTCGATGCCACGAGATCGCCAGCGAATATATCTCGATTTGGTCCATTAACTGCCTTCTGATATTTGGCTTCTCGGGGATTTTATGGATTAGTTTAGTTACGTTCAAACTTCGCCTTCTGATTTACTTGGCACGTGTTTTTTGGTAGCGGTGTTCATAGTCAATCCCGACTCGACACCACGCTACAACTGGTGAGCCAAATTTTGGAACACGCCTCAACCTCGTCAAATCTTCCAAAGAAGCCAATTCGGTGAGTCTATAGTTTATCTATCCACGTCTGTCGTATATTTTCATATTTTTTAATATATAATATACTCGACATGACGGATAACGATAAGAATAGTATTAATATAATAGACTCACATGTATGTGTACCGAATCCTTGTTACTTTTTATTCGCGTGACGATGAATTTCACGCTTTATTCGAGAAATTTTCCCCTATTAACTATTCTCCTCGCTGACCCGGCTGCTTGGTACGGAATGCATACGCATAAGCATATCTGTCTACCACCCAGCACCAAATGGTTAAGTAAACGGTTTCACTGCCAACTTAAAAGTGCTCTACGAGCACACGAAAACGGCAACTGGCACGAAACCTTACCGCTCGTTCTTTTAGGGATCAGAACGAGCTTAAAGGCAGATATCCAATGTTCCGCCGCTGAACTTGTATACGGCACGACATTGCGTCTGCCCGGAGAATTCTTCACACCACGGAGCAGACCTAATTTCGGTAAATCAGACTACGTCCATCGACTGTCTGCATTTATGCGAACGCTGTCTCCGGTGTCAACTCGAATACAACATCGACAGGTCGCTCCCCCTCGAGAGTTATCTACCTGTTCACATGTTTTTGTACGAGTAGATTCGGTACGCAAACCTTGGCAACAACCTTACGAAGGCCCTTTTCACGTGATCGCTCGTCACGAAAAGACCTTCAAGGTTGATCGACATGGCCGCGTCGAGATCGTCAGCATTGATCGTCTCAAACCCGCACACGTCGATGACAGTGCACTATCTGATACCCTGAGATTCAATGCTAGACCTATTAAACCTAGCGGGATCCTTAAATCTTCTTCAGGTCCCACGCTAGGTACATCTGAGACCTCATTCTCACGTCCCGGTCAACAGCACGCGTCATCTGCACCATCTACAGACGAGACGACAGTCTCACGTCCAGATCAGCAGACCACGCCGCCCTTGATTTCGGATGAGATTGCAGGCTCACGAAATACGAACGAGACTACCGTCTCACTTTCCGGTCGCCGAGTACGGTTGCCCGTACGCTTCCGCGACTAGTCGCGCAGTCAACAACCGATACGGTGTAGGGTTATTCCTATGCTACACGCATGCTACACTCTTCTCTTTTTTGCTTTTCTTTTTGTTTCCTGAGCCCGCGCCTTCGATCATCTCCGTTTGGTTCCGTCGACTTCAGTCAACTTTGGCGAAAGCTGGCCTGATCACCCACGCTCTTGTCAACGTACTCAGTCGATATATTGGTTTCGAATGCTTGGCATACGCTTGGTCTCGAACTTGGTCGTTATGGTCGCTTCTGGTTCATCGGCTCAACGTGGTTTCGTCCTACGTCTGCAACGTTTCTGGTCCGCATTCCCTACGAACGCAATCTTCAGATTCTGGATACAAACCACTCTGGTGTAGCATGCCAACTCAAGCAACAAATACAGCACATCGCTCCTGGTACCGTTCTTCGAAAACGACCTTCGTTGGCAACTCGACGATCAACGATCGCTTTCCTGTTCGCCAATTCTTCCGTCCTACAATCGCTCGTCAGCCGATCAGTCCCACGATTTAAACCGCTATTTATCGAAAGTGTAAACCCTTTCTAGCGGGGGGCTCCTGTAGTGACTCACATTTATCACGAGAACACGACTGGTTTAATAAAAACAATTATTATTATAACCAACTGTACCAGTGTTTGTTTTAATGTGCTTTTGTTTGACTGTGCTAATGACAGCTATATTAGTGCTTCCATTCTTATACTTACACTTTGATTGCAACTTCGCGCGAATTCGGTTACGTTCTGTAACCAAGCTTGTATTCTGGCACGATCTCGGTATCCTTTCGATGCCACGAGATCGCCAGCGAATATATCTCGATTTGGTCCATTAACTGCCTTCTGATATTTGGCTTCTCGGGGATTTTATGGATTAGTTTAGTTACGTTCAAACTTCGCCTTCTGATTTACTTGGCACGTGTTTTTTGGTAGCGGTGTTCATAGTCAATCCCGACTCGACACCACGCTACAATTTAAAGAAATATATACCTATCACGTTCAAAATAAATATGCAACAAAGAAACATAAGTTAATAGAATGCTTACAATAACAGATTGTTGACAAATTTCTTGAATGAGATTATAGTAAGCCCGGATTCGACAGATCGTCAACTCAGCATGTGCAAGAGTTTGATGTAGTTCAGGTGAATCAGCAAACGCTCCAAATTTATTCAAAGGAGAAGCAAACTTGGAAACAAAGTCATCAAGTACAGCCGATGTTTCATCGAAACACTGAGTGGATTCTAAACCAGCAGACATCTGTGATATTTAAAAACGATTTACATAGATATTTGGAAATGAATATGTACGATGTCTCTAGTAGAGATGGAAATAAAAAATGAAAAAAGTTGGGTATATAAAGTTGCAAACTGATATGTAGTTTTTAAATTAAACATCAAATTAAAACACAGGGAAAGCAATTCGTAAACTACAAACTTGTTGACTAGTCAACGTATAATCAGTACAAATAATCCAATGATCCACAATGCTACGTTTTGGAGAGATAAAACTGAAAACAGAGATAGCATGTGAATGAAAGCTAAATATAAAAAATAAAGTGGCAAAAAGGTCCTTTGAAGTATGATAAAGACAGCATTTATTTGCACCACTATGATCGGTTTTCAGATAGTTCATACAAGATTTTGCAGTATCAGCAAGTAAGTTAATATATTTAAACACGATTCAGAACATCAGGCAACTACTTTTTGAACAAGTATCGATCGATTACAACATTATGATTCATAGTACTATTATCACATTCGTGTGATGAATTTTTGGTCTCCCATTATGAGTTAAATAAATGATATATGTCAACCTATATTGTGTTTTAACGTGGGTATCATATGACCCAGCTACGAAGGATGGTGAAAGTTTTTAAGTTCATTGACTGACTTATTTTCACTGCCAATAACATTACCCTCAGTCACAACAGTGCTTACTCGGTGGTCTAGCCATGTACAAACAATAGTTCTAAGGCACGTGTAATCGAGTATCCATAGTTTACAACTACTAACTTCCACATTCATGCCTCAGCTGTAGAACATCATACTAAAAACTGTTGAACAATGAAAAATACTTATTCAATTACCCTCCAGAGACTTGCCATATCTGAATATAACCGCCAAAAGCTTTTACCATCTGAGGAGCTATCAGAAAAAGCAACTAGGAAGATCCTAACTATAAAGAAACAAGTTACGAAACCAATGAATGTTGCAGTGACCTGACCTTAAAGATACAATCTACCAAGATAGTGTCCGCAAGCCGTAATTTAAATTTGAAGACCTTAGATGACAGCTTTATGGATCGGTCGTGGTAATAAATATGTACTTTTAAGATCATTATTTTTACTTACGTATTTCATTAGATTCATATGGGTTATATAGGTAGTTCTTGACTATCAATAATGGTATGACTTCGGCTCTTTCTATGCATCTTGCCAACTTTCCCCAATATCGTGATATTAAGTGAGACAGCTTGGACCGAATCATATTTTCGTTCGGTTTTACGTTATTTTTGACTGGCTAAGGCTACCAAATTATTACTGGAGTTACTTTTGAGACCCGAAACATGTTTTTTATGAAGTGTTTTTCCTACACTAACCACACACTATTTTTTAAATACATACATGTTCACTGACTTCAAAGCAATGTACAATATTAGTCTACCATCTTTCTAGTCACAGTTAAGTGTAAAGTGCATGATTAAACCAGTCGTGTTACGAAATATTACACGCTAAGTGAAGACAACTATAAATATCGTTCGCCGAAACTTTTTCCATATAAGTAGAACCAGTTGACGTCTAAAATTTCATTACTACTATTTTGCTTGTTTATGGGTGAACCAGCTTATTCAATTTTTAACAGAAATAGTTGTTTCCTAGTGAGTTTTTGTATTCACGCTTGGATTTTTCGACTTCCCACAAGAGGCGATCACATCACTCGAGGACTAATAGGGCATTATTTTTATTAGTAATATACTTATTAGAACGAACTTTTGTGAAGACCATATGTATTGACCATTTATAAACGGTCCATCATTACTGACAACTGTACTCGTCAAGAAACTTTCCATTAGCACCATCCTGACGGTTTTTCCATGAATTGAGGCAAATAAATTTAGACGGTTGTGAGTAATTACTTATCGAATGATTGATAGATCTACAGAGAATGTGCTGCACTAAGATGCACGTCCCTTTTGATTTACACCCTTTAGAACCCGAAGGATAAGAAAACCCCGGGCGAGAATATTTATCTGTACTTAATTTCTTATACGACAAAACCCCTTTTATATAAATTATATACCTTTCCTAAGTGCGTGTGGCGTCATGATTCCAAGGTCGTTTCCAGTTCTTTCACACTGTTAAGACCCACCACAAAATTGTATCTGTCAAAATGATAAAATAAACACTGTTTCTAGAAATATCAAAACGTTACACAACTGTAAAGATCCTCGAAATGATCAGATAAACTAACAGATATCCCACCAAGCAACTACATACCCAAAGACCTTGTCGCATCGTACGAATTTGTATAGGCGCCCTTTTAATTAGCCAGTATTGTTCAAATGGTTCTGGACGGAATAGAAGCTTTTGCCTAACGAGCTTCCATATCCAGTAGCAACGGATCGCCGATGTCTCCAGGTAGGAACCTAGGCATATTAATGATGAAAGAAGAAAAAGTAAAACGTTGGGGAATCACAACGAGTTACTGTGTCATCTCTCCATTCCCCTCTTGTCCATAGTTCTTAAGAATATGTCAGGCTTTCTCTTAAAGGACTCCTTGGAAGTCGCATAGACTAGCTCGGCCGGCAGTTAATTACAGAAGTTAAATCTCCCTAAGGAGTAAAAGGTGTGTCTACAGTTTCTGAGTGTTACACCTGTAGCGGTAAATAAATCCCCAAAATAAATAGCCCTGTAAGTTTTCGACATTGGATGCTGACCATATGTTTTAGTGGACTCATCTAGCTGAAGGCGCTCGGTCAGGCATCCGCACCAGATCACGTGTGGTAACGCTGTGCTCAACATCAACCGCAATCGCTAGCCAGATTAGATCAGAGAATTCCGATATATTGGTCATCGCCAAATATACTCTTCCGATCTCCTCGACTCTGTCTTTTGATTTCTCTTGGTGGGAACGAAATATATTAGAAGGTGTTACTGGTAGAAGCGTTGTCAAACACTGAATACCTGTGACATCATCATTGGTGAGACCGTCGTGATCTGGTACACCTTATTGCAACTGTGAGTCTGTTCCTTTTTGGGATTTTTATATATCATTGCCTTATTTTTTATTTTTTTTAAACATTGTGATTTTTTTTCGTATTTTTTCTTGGATATATATATATATTTTTCCCCTCGTTCATTATCGTACTTCATATTTCATCATGACTGAACAGACACCTAAAGTACTCAAGCTTAAGACCTTGTCCCCACCTTCGTTTCAACTGATGCCTTTCTGGCCCGACAACATCGAAGCCTGGTTTTGCTACGCAGAAGCCGACTTCTCCGAGCACGGCGTGATCGACACACGTGCACAATTCCTCGCAGTAGTCAAGGCACTGCCGCGGGAATTCAACAGGTACGTAACACCTAGTATGTTTACTAGTGATGTTTCCGGACCTTACGAAATCTTAAAACGCTCGATTCTCAAACGAGGAGACCTAACCGATCGACAAAGGTTAGATCAACTCTTCAATAACATCGACCTGCAACACGGTTCTGCGACGGACATGTTGCAACGGATGAGAGAGGTTATAGGCCCAAGAACTTTCGACGAAGGTCTATTCAAACAACTCTTCTTGTCAAAACTTCCCCAACAGGTGCAAGCAGTTCTGGTCTCGTTCCAGAACAACGCCTTAGACGAGCTAGCTGCATCTGCCGACCGCATTCTAGAAATTACGAAACCTACTACCGAGGTATTTTCAGTCAAAGAAAAACCTCAAACGACTCAGAATGATATAACCGACTTATGTCACACACTCACGCGTTATCTTAGTCTTCGTACCGACCGTAAGAGATCGCGCACACCACGTAGAAGCATTTCTCGTAAGCGATCTGTCTCTAGACCACGAGAGACAGATAACCCCGACTGGTGCTGGTATCATAACCAGTATGGAAAGTTTTCCAGAAATTGCAGAAAACCCTGCAATTTTCCCAACACGAAACCGACTGATTCGAAAAACAATTCGGGAAACTTCCAAGCCGGCACGCGTTAACGGCAACCGTAGCCGGCGAACATAGCCGTCTGTTATACGTCACAGATGTGACAACGAGAGTTCGCTACCTCGTCGACACTGGCGCAGAAGTTAGCGTTCTCCCAGCAAATCCTAACGACCGACTTCACGAATCGACCCTAAACTTACAGGCGGCAAACGGAAAACCGATCGCTACGTATGGCAAAAGGTACGTTTACCTTAACGTGGGTTTACGCAAACCCATCCACTGGATTTTCGTTGTTGCAGATGTTTCTATGCCAATCATTGGTATGGACCTTCTACAACACCACAATCTGATCATCGACACTCGCAAACGGAGGCTAGTAGACGGAAACACTAATTTGTCCGTTTGCGCAACTTCTTTTACTGGTTGTAGAGTATCCCCAGTCACAGTTAAACATATGATAGACCCACTCTATCAACCACTACTCGATAAGTACCCTGGGATACAACAAACTCAACCGAAACTACCGTGTGTAACCAGCAATGTTACACATCACATCACGACTACAGGACCACCTGTATTCTCTAAAGCACGACGACTAGCTCCTGAAAAGCTAAGGTTAGCGAAAAACGAATTCGATCACATGATGGACTTAGGAATCATACGACCGTCAAGTAGCCCATATGCATCTCCGTTGCACATGGTCCCTAAAAAGGACAGCAACGATTGGCGTCCAACTGGCGACTATCGGCGATTGAACGCGAAAACCATTCCCGATCGTTACCCGTTGCCTCACATTCACGATTTGACAGCTACCTTGAAAGGTACAACTGTCTTTTCGAAAATCGACTTGGTTAAAGCGTATAACCAAATCCCTATGGCTACTGACGACATACCGAAAACAGCTATCATAACTCCCTTCGGACTCTATGAATTTTTGCGAATGCCTTTCGGTCTAAGGAATGCTGCTCAAACATTCCAAAGATTCATAGACGACGTTTTTCGAGGTCTCAACTTCGTACACGCGTATGTTGACGACTGTCTAATCGCAAGTCCGGACAGAGAAACACATCTCAAGCATCTGGACCTTGTTTTCGAACGATTACAAAAACATGGCATAACTGTAAACGTTCAGAAATGCCAATTCGGAACCGACTCGTTAGACTTTCTGGGACACACTATCGATGCTCAAGGTATCCGACCCCTTAGAACCAAAGTGGCGGCCATTCTGGATTACCCAGAACCGACCACCGTCAAGCAATTACGCACGTTCAACGGCCTGGTAAGTTTCTATAGACGTTTCATACCGAAATGCGCATTACTTATGAAACCTCTGACCGACCAACTTCGTGGAAATGCGAAATCCATTAATTTGGACGACACCGCACGAAAAGCATTCTCCACAGTTAAGGAACTGATTGCTAAAGCAACAATGCTCGCACATCAGGACACCCGAGCACCCATTAGCATCGCAGTAGACGCATCCGACTCGGCAATCGGAGGAGTCTTACAACAATGGGTTAACAACTCCTGGCAACCCTTGGCATTTTTCTCTAGAAGGTTGCTAGACACCGAATCGAGGTACAGCACATTCGGTAGGGAACTCCTAGCTATGTATTGTGCTGTACGGCATTTCCAACACTATATCGAAGGCCGTGAATTCACTCTTTTCACGGACCATAAACCGCTCACTTTCTCGTTAAGCTCTCCTTCTGACAAGTACTCTCCCCGTGAGTCTCGACAACTGGACGACATTTCGCAGTTTACTTCAGATATTCAGAGAGTCAGTTGAATGTTGTGGACAATTTACGCACGCGACTGCTAAATCTCCCATGTTTCGGATATGTGAAAGAGATTGACGAATTAATTTCTCACTTGCATACTGAACTCGGGAATGACTGCAGGACATATGAAGATGAAAACAAAAGCCTCTATGAATCCCTTATGATCAGTAATGCAAACGAGGCAGTCACTCATGATCCGTCCAGCGGTCCAGAATTGTCCAATTCAGAGGCATGCCCTGTTGTGGGTTCAAATCCCACTGTGCCTGAAATATGTGAGGTATCCAGCTTACAAGAAGAACATCTCGTGCCAGAAAATGTTCCCCGTGCATCAAATAATGGTCAGAAATCTAATACGAATTTCAAAGATGCTGTTTGTTTTAGTGACCTATTATCCAGTGATGGAACTTTGAAGAGGTCTGAAGAATATGTTGCACAAAAATCAAACCTTAATGACCTCATGTCTGGTGTCGCTAATCCTCATCACCTAGTCAGTTTTAGTGAACCCTCTACTCAATGCGCGAAATATGCTTCAAATAGAGTCAGACTAACTGTTACTTGGGTATATGAGGACCCAACGTTATTTCGCGGGGGAGGACGGACGCAGAAAATTTTAAAATCCGTATATTAACTCCGGACCTTTAAAAAAAAGGGAGGTGTTAGGATAGTCGGAAAAATATACCAATAATTATCGTGTTAAGTCTATGGTGGCCTTGGACCTTAAATGTACATTTCCCATTGGTCGATGTTTGTTTCACTTGTTAAATATTGTGTAAATATTGTTTTCTATTTTATGGTACGATGTGGTTTGTTTGGTTAGTATATAAATAGAGTATGTCTGAAATACAATGATTCATAACTCAGAGGCTGTGACTTGCGTTCTTGACTCAACTGGCTAGGACAGACAGCGAAGCAGGGCCAATCAGGGCACTAGGTCGTCCACTACGTGTTTAAGTATCACTGTCACAGAAGCGATTGATAAATACGCTGCTTATCAAAACCTGCAGTCAAACACGTTACAACACTTACAAACGCAATGCGTTCAGTGAAACCTGCTTCCACTCGACCTCAATCAACTGATGTATTCGTTCAACCTGACCTACGATATATTACACACGTTTTCGTTCGTCGAGACTCGCATCGACGACCATTCGAATCAGCATACGAAGGACTTTCAAAGTTCTTCAACGTGAATCTAAGTACTATATAGTCGATAAGAATGGAACAAACGATAGCATCAGCATCGATCGCTTAAAAGCAGCGTATTTAGAAGGAAATCCTATTCACGTCGACTTTCCTTTGGTACAATCGCACAATACGACTCCTACACTCATAATTACACAACCGACAATCAACACTAGCGATGACATTCCGAATGTATCTGAAAATAAACTTAAGACGACGCGTTCTGGAAGAAGAGTAAGATTTCCAGAACATTTAGACGACTACTGCACGTAAGACACTACTCGACATTTTATATTATCTCGATTTTTCTTTTGACAATATATAATATTAAAAAAAACAATTTTAATATGCCTATATGTTTATATTTTTATTTTAAGAAAAAAACAACATTAT